ATTAATGACGTGTTTTTTCTGTGGCCAGAAGTTCAATCCATCTTTAAGTTGGCAATCCAAAGACGAACCCGTCCGTGGAGGATCAGGAATCTGGTGGATTTCAATGGTGAAGTCCTCTGGAAATCTTCAATAATTGTTGTTGATTGCAGATGTGTCTAGTAGTTCCCATTGATTTAGCTTGTAAAGCGGGGAGAATGGCGCTAGGCTTACCGCACCGTGACGTCACTGCCGGAAGATGGCAGGGGTGAGGTGTTACTATATTTGGGCAAAAATGGCCGCTCCAGTAGTTTGTCAGGTGATTGAGGTAATACCTGCTCAGGGGGGAACAGATCAGCAGGAGGGGGGTACCCTGAGGGTCCAGAGGTTTGTCGGCAGGCAGAGACTGACCGAATGCAGGCAGGCAGATTCCAGAACTGAGTTACTTCCAGGTTTCAGGTTTTCCGACAGGTCAGGTTCTGTAGGCAGAGAGAGAGAATTGGATCAGGCAGGTTCACGCAAAAACACAGAGAAAAGATCAGGCAGGTTGGCTCAGGTCTAGCTGTACCATTACTGGCTAACACTCTAGCACTGGAGTCTCCGCCTCCTTAAGTAGGAGTCTCCTGATGAGCAGATTGAAGACAGGTATAGCAGTCAGCTCATGCCCCAGGAGATCTCGTGCGCCCTCTGGTGGAGAAAGTGGACAAAACCTCCAGATCCCAACACAAACTTGATGCACTATATTTGATGAAAACTAACAAACACCCTCAGGACACAAATACAAAAGAGAGGAAAGTAATAATTAAACAAAACAATACCACAGAAGAAGAAATAAAGAGGAGAGGCTCTCAGTCTTAGAGTCACACATTTATAACAATGAGAACGGTTTCTAAAATGTTTAGTCAGAATAACTAACATACAGCCACAAACATCAGTTTTTACCTGAGATTAATCTCCATCTTATTTTTGCTGTCCATGCTGAAGTAAAACACTCCCCACATCATTATGCTGCCACCTCCATGTTTCCCCATAGCGATGCTGTGTTTCATATCGGTTGGGACAGTTAATGTCGTTTCAGAAAATTCAAATGTATTGGTTGTCATGTTTCCATCCAGTTTAAGTGAAGAAGAGCTTGGAAAGCATTAGAAATGCAGGAAAAGTCTTCTTGATGAAGGGTTAGATGTTCTAATCCAATAAAATGGACTTCCTCTGAATTCTGCCGAAGAACAATGAGCCAAATCCAAATGCTCCTGAAAAAATAACCACTCCCAGTAATCCAGGAACAGTTTGCTGGTGATCTGCAGTTACTTTTAGAAAGATGGTGTACCGTCACAAGGCAAAAGTGAGAACAACAGGACCTAAAGTTCAGTCTTGTGGTTAAGTTGGTCTTGTGGTCAGGAAACTTCTCTGATTCTAAATCTATCAGGAAGCTGTGGTCAGTTCTAAAGAAGACAGAAAAACAGAAACTAACAACTTCAGGGACTAAAAGGAAGAGAACGGGTCGCCTTTGTTGTGCCATAACTGTGTACGAATCTGATGAATGCATCAACGCAGCGTCGCATGGAGGCGATCAGCCTTGGCTCTGCTGAGGTGCAACAGGAGCCACGATAATCGGGTCAGAGGTCACAGCGACATCCAGGCCTCTGAACCACCGTTTTGTCGGTTGGAGTTGTGTGCAGGTGGCATGTCCTGCTGGGAAATGAAGTCAGCATCTCCAAAAAAAAGCCTGTCAGCAGAAGGAATTTCTCAGTGCTTTACTGTAAAACCTATTAGGCCTTTGCAGTTTTCATTATTTCATTATTTTTAATTTTGTCCACAATATTCTGATTCTTTTATATAGACCATGTTTATTTGTTTTATCATTGGAGAGCAATAATCATCAAAATAAAAATGAAGGCCTAAAGCACTCCATGCTATGTTTATTGAGTCTATATAACACAAATTTACCTTTCTGAAATAAGTCACAATATATACTGTATTAGTTTTACTGACATTCTTTTTTTTTGTTCCTAAATATGATCAAATGACCTGAAGTCTTGAACTAAATCCAGTAAACAAGATTTTTAAATTGGTGTTCCCAGCTTGTACACATCAACTCTGACTAATTTGTTTTATTGGAAACATAGAGATAAAAAACAGGGTTTAGATGTGAAAAGCTGGTTGACATAAAACCTACCAACAGCATCTGTGGAAGGAGTAATTGTTGGGAGCTGGAGAAAATACCATTTTTCTCCAGCAGAGTCCGCCGTGGATCCTCTGAGGGAGCCTCCTGCACAGGTGCAGCTCATCAAGACCATCAGAGGATCCACTACTTAAGCTGCCTTCAGACCTTACCTCAACGCCGCAGTGTTGTTCCAGTTGGTCAGCGCTAAAGCCTTGATCTCAGTGATTTTTCCACGTCCTTAATCCCTAGTCAGAGTC